TAAACTCTGGTCCATGATCATCTCCTACATGTACGTCTGGTCTTACCATGTGTAAACTCTGGTCCATGATCATCTCCTACATGTATGTCTGGTCTTACCATGTGTAAACTCTGGTCCATGGTCATTTCCTACATGTACGTCTGGTCTTACCATGTGTAAACTCTGGTCCATGATCATCTCCTACATGTACGTCTGGTCTTACCATGTGTAAACTCTGGTCCATGATCATTTCCTACATGTACGTCTGGTCTTACCATGTGTAAACTCTGGTCCATGGTCATTTCCTACATGTACGTCTGGTCTTACCATGTGTAAACTCTGGTCCATGGTCATTTCCTACATGTACGTCTGGTCTTACCATGTGTAAACTCTGGTCCATGGTCATTTCCTACATGTACGTCTGGGTCTGATCCTAGTGGCTGCAGTTTCCTCGGTTGAATCCGACCAATCAGAGAGCGGGGGAGGCGGGTGTTGTAGGTCGGTGTCGGTGACGTCAGAGTTTGTGCTGTTGCTGGTTGTAGTTTGTCGGAGAATGTGATAGTAAAATAATCTGTTCTGGTTCAATCCAAATATCAAGAAACTGAAGCCGGAGCAAGAGGAATGTTTAGTCGTGGTTCTCCTCACTCTATCGCTGTGTTATCATTTATGTCACGGCAGAACGCTCTGGTTGTTTTTTATGATCCTGATTTAGTTTGTTTTACTTTTCACAGTAATGTTTCCTCGAGTGAAGCTGCTGTGTGCAGAATATAAGACTTTATTGATCTCTGATGGAGACATGTCACATCTGGCACGGATCAGTCACAGAAATAAATGTGCAACATGTTAAATGCAGGATATGTACAATATAAAGTGTCAATAGTGCAGGTTTTTTCAGTCTTAATGCAAGTTAAATATACATAATATATGTATAATAGTAGTAGCAGTACATGTATAATATATATGTTATTCGTATACATTACATGTGGCGACAGTGGCTCAGATGTAACATTGGTCGATGTCTCAAACACTGTCTGATTATCCGTCCATTGTACATCTTGCTGTTGTTGTTTGCAGTGTGTTTGCTAGGCTAATGCTAGGCTAATGCTAGGCTAATGCTAGGCTAATGCTAGGCTAATGCTGCTGGATGTTAAAAATGCCAGTTGTTTTGGGGTCTTGGTCAGAGTCTGCTCTAGCTTTAGCCAATCAGCGTACGGTAAACCCTTATCCAGGACACTCTCTAAAAAGAGATTATAGATATTTATCTCAATGAGGTCCTGCTTAAGTAAAGGTGAAATAAATAAAAATAACCCAGTTTTGAAAAAGCCCCAAAGGCAGAGATAGACGTGACTAGGTTCGTTAATATTTACAGTCTATGGGTTAAAAGTTGCTGCGGTGGAAACGTGCCTTTAGACTCCACATGGTCCGGTCTGTGTTTCCTGGTTTGGATGGATGCAGTAGAGGTTGTTAAACACTGGAGTGAGAGCAGGGACCCTCTTGCTGTGAGGTGACAGTGCTATGAGTAAATGAATGAATCCGTAGAGTCCTGGTCATATTTAACGCAGAGGACTATGGGGACTTTGGAGCGGACCATGTGACCCAGTTTAGGTTTGGATTCTGTGTAAACTCTGCCTCCACCTGGTACTGCATCAGAGAGAGGACAGCCCTGTTTCCACCGGCCCCTACAGTACAGATCTATGCTACAGTCTGGAACAGTCTTCCTGAAAATGTGAGACAGGCTTCTTCTCTGATGATGTTCCACTGAAGGATTTGATCTTTTTAATGAACTGTTTTTAGTTGTTATTTTATGCCTTGCTCTGAGATAAAGATAAAGTGTGGGACTTTGCAGAAATGTCACTGTTGCAGCGCATGTAAAACATATTTATCTATAGATAAAGATAGATAACTATAGATAAACTATAGATTTATCTATAGTTATCTATAGATAAATATGAATAGAAAAATTGGAAAAATTCTAAAGTTCCTAATAATGGTGTGAAGTGGTTAGCCATGCTTCTAAGGTCAATAATACAGATGTGAAGTGGTTAGCCATGCTTCTAAGGTCAATAATACAGATGTGAAGTGGTTAGCCATGCTTCTAAGGTCAATAATACAGATGTGAAGTGGTTAGCCATGCTTCTAAGGTCAATAATACAGATGTGAAGTGGTTAGCCATGCTTCTAAGGTCAATAATACAGATGTGAAGTGGATAGCCATGCTTCTAAGGTCAATAATACAGATGTGAAGTGGTTAGCCATGCTTCTAAGGTGAATAATACAGATGTGGTGTGGTTAGCCATGCTTCTAAGGTCAATAATACAGATGTGGTGTGGTTAGCCATGCTTCTAAGGTCAATAATACAGATGTGGTGTGGTTAGCCATGGTTCTAAGGTCAATAATACAGATGTGAAGTGGTTAGCCATGCTTCTAAGGTCAATAATACAGATGTGAAGTGGTTAGCCATGCTTCTAAGGTCAATAATACAGATGTGGTGTGGTTAGCCATGCTTCTAAGGTCAATAATACAGATGTGGTGTGGTTAGCCATGCTTCTAAGGTCAATAATACAGATGTGAAGTGGTTAGCCATGCTTCTAAGGTCAATAATACAGATGTGGTGTGGTTAGCCATGCTTCTAAGGTCAATAATACAGATGTGGTGTGGTTAGCCATGCTTCTAAGGTCAATAATACAGATGTGGTGTGGTTAGCCATGCTTCTAAGGTCAATAATACAGATGTGAAGTGGTTAGCCATGCTTCTAAGGTCAATAATACAGATGTGGTGTGGTTAGCCATGCTTCTAAGGTCAATAATACAGATGTGGTGTGGTTAGCCATGCTTCTAAGGTCAATAATACAGATGTGGTGTGGTTAGCCATGCTTCTAAGGTCAATAATACAGATGTGGTGTGGTTAGCTGCTCTTCTACAATAAAAAGTGTAGGTGTGAAGTGGTTAGCCATGCTTCTAAGTAGGGGTGGGAACCTCAGAGTACCTCACGATACGATACGATGCAGCGAGTATCGATACATCGGTCGGTTTAGTAGAGAGAAGTTTGACTGAGACATCCACCTGCTGTTGATGAGAGAAGCTCTAAAGCTAATCCAAACATGTATACAATAGACGATATCGATACTCGATATCGATACTCGACGTGAGAAAGTATCACGATACATCACGTGTCGATTATATATATATATATTAGGGCTGTCAAAATTATCGCGTTAACTCACGTTAATTACCTTTTTTATTAACGCGTTATTTATTTTTAAACGCATTAACGCATGTCCGAATGACCCGCCCATTTATCCATAAGAATATCACTCAGAATGCTGCGTGTGAGATGGCCTCCTCCGTGGCCGCTCTGGTTGTTGTTAGCGGCTGTGAGTGAGTGCAAGCTTTGCACGGGCTGCAAGCATGGATCTAGCTATTATAATAACAGCAGCAAGCGATTGCTCCGTTCACATACTCAGCGCTCTGCGTACTGTATTTTCCCTGGTTCTTGTCTGTCAGGCGCGCTCTGCGCACTGTATTTTCCCTGGTTCTTGACTGTCAGGCGCGCTCTGCGAACTGTATTCTCCCTGGTTCTTGACTGTCAGGCGCGCTCTGCGAACTGTATTCTCCCTGGTTCTTGACTGTCAGGCGCGCTCTGCGAACTGTATTCTCCCTGGTTCTTGTCTGTCAGGCGCGCTCTGCGCACTGTATTCTCCCTGGTTCTTGTCTGTCAGGCGCGCTCTGCGCACTGTATTCTCCCTGGTTCTTGTCTGTCAGGCGCGCTCTGTGCACTGTATTCTCCCTGGTTCTTGACTGTCAGGCGTGAGTGTTGCTCGTGTGTGTTTTTGGGAACTAATTATTTTAAAATAGTCTCTTTCAATTGCAAGTTTTGTAATCTGTTTGTTTGATCAATGGATAAAAATAAATGCAATTTAATTAAATGGCACCTTGGCCTGTCTTATACCTGTTTGCCTGCAGGACAGTTCCCTAAACTAACATATCATACTAAAATAGGGTGGGGTTGTTGCAACAATTAATCTACTTAGAAGTTATCCTAAATTACAGCCAGCTAAAGCTCGGTACCACGACAAACGAAAAACGCAATAGTTACTTTTACTGCTAACTAGTTACTTTTATAGTGGAGTAACTCAGTAAGTCAATTACTTTTTGGAAGAAGTAACTAGTAATTATAACTAATTACTTTTTCAAAGTAACTTACCCAATACTGGTAATTATATTTGATAATCTCATTTAACTTCAATTGGAGTGGATTTGAAATAGCATGTTAAACATGCGATTAATCGTAAGTTAACTCACCATTACTATGCGATTAATCAACTAAAAACATTTAATCGTTTGACAGCCCTAATATATATATATATATATATATATATATATATATATATATATATAGTCACACTGTAAGTCTCTCTGGTCTCACACACAGAGAGAACTAACACCATGTGGACATTGCTCCAGCTTATGTTCAAATCACATTATGCTCGGTCCGCTCCTGAGGTCTTTATAGTCCTGCTCCTGCTCTAACCTCCCCCTCTCTCCCCCTCTCCCCCTCCAGGCTGTAAGGAGTGCTGTGACCGGTGTGTGGGCAGCCTCCCCTGGGCCTCCCTCATCGCCACCATCCTGCTGTACATGGGGGTGGCTCTGTTCTGTGGCTGCGGACACGAGGCCCTCAGCGGGACCGTAACCATCCTGCAGAACTACTTTGAGGTGATCCGAGCACCAGGTGACACCATCGACGTCTTTACCATGTGAGTACGCCCACACGTCTCTCGGTTAGCGCTTGTGCCTCACAGCGAGAAGGTCCTTGGTTTGGTTCTACCTCCAGGCCCTTTCTGTACAGAGTTTCCGAGCGGCACGGTGGCTGAGTGGATAGCACTCTCGCCTCTCAGCAAGAAGGTCCTGGGTTCGAATCCCGGCCGGACCAGGGCCTTTCTGAGTGGAGTTTGCATGTTCTCCCCGTGCCTGCGTAGGTTTCCTCCGGTTTCCCCTACCACTATAAATATGTACAATAGTTCTGGCATGCGCCTCCTGTTCGGCGACCCCGCTCCCATCTCTGTGTGGAGTGAGAGGACAAGTGCCCAAAAAATAACAATTGTAAACCGCTTTGTGACTCTGGTCTGTGAAAGGCGGTATATAAATAAAGCTTACTACTTACTTACTAGTTTCCCTGTTCTCCCTGTGTGTGTGGGTTTCCTCCAGGTGCTACGGTTTTTTAACTGTGTGGAGTTTTTATAACACTTTGAAGCAACTGTGCAGGAGCTGGTGCTTTTCCACCTGAAAGTTTTGGTCAACTTTAAAGTGCTATTATTATTATTATTATTATTATCTGTGGTGAATGCTGATTGGAGAGTCTTTGATATCATTCTGTCTTTGTCCATGTCTGGTCTCGACCATCGACAATAGTAGTCCAGACCAGTCCAGACCAGACCAGTCCAGTCCAGTCAGGGTCAATATACTGCCAGAGTACCCCTACCCCAAAAGAATTGCAAAAGTATGTTTTCTGGTGCTTTTATGTTAGACTGGGTCTAGTCTAAAACAAACTAAAAGTTGGACAAAATCTGAGAAAGTGAAAGTGTCACATTTTGGAAATGACTTTTTTGGTTTACAGTAATTTTCCATTTACTGTAAAGCTCTGACTCGGTCAGTTTTCATGATAAATCAATAAATCTGTATTTGTATCCAGGTTTTCAGTCTTTCACATGAAAGTGTTACCAGTGCCAGATGTACCAGAGGTGAATTAGAACTTTCTTTAATTAATTGGGCCCCTTACCTCCGTATACAAATGAAATTATTCTCTGTAGGATTCTTGAGAAAACAACTGAAAAACCCAAAGAGACCAAGTTTTACCGCACCCCGCCGCCCAAGTCTGATTCTCTTGGTGTGGATGTCTTGCTACAGCTGTGTTGTTTATGTACCAGTGATGTCCGTGCACCAGAGGACCGTTTGGTCCATGTCTTCCACTGTGTCATCCGCCTACAACCTCGCCATGCAACAACTCACCGCAAGAAGTTGCGCAACAAGTGATAGTTGCAGAACAACTAGACGGCTTCTAACCATTTTCATGTGATGAATGGTTACGCAATATTACCACAGGGATTAATGCCAACGAGGATGTCAATGTTCATTTTTGAAATCTGAAAAGACACTGTACAGAAGATGGATGGACTATCAGTTTCCTCCTACTGTCACAAACTGAGTTTGAAGGCTAGCATCGAGCAAGAACATAAAAGTTTCTGCAGATCATATCATTGACTCAGCACACTCCTATCATGTCTTTGTTTGAAGGAAAGGGCATCTTACGTCAAAAGAACAAAATGAAGCTCGCAGAGGCTTTTAGAAATGATGTTTGAACAAACAAATCAGACAGTGCTGTGACACAAACCGTTCCAGTCACAGAGCACAAAGTACTAGACGGAAGATCTCTTCTTCACCGTCTGAAATGGAAGAAGATCTCTTCTTCACCGTCTGAAATGGAAGAAGATCTCTTCTTCACCGTCTGAAATGGAAGGAAGGAGATCTCTTCTTCACCGTCTGAAATGGAAGGAGATCTCTTCTTCACCGTCTGAAATGGAAGGAGATCTCTTCTTCACCGTCTGAAATGGAAGGAAGGATATCTCTTCTTCACCGTCTGAAATGGAAGGAGATCTCTTCTTCACCGTCTGAAATGGAAGAAGGATATCTCTTCTTCACCGTCTGAAATGGAAGGAAGGATATCTCTTCTTCACCGTCTGAAATGGAAGAAGGATATCTCTTCTTCACCGTCTGAAATGGAAGGAAGGATATCTCTTCTTCACCGTCTGAAATGGAAGGAGATCTCTTCTTCACCATCTGAAATGGAAGAAGGATATCTCTTCTTCACCGTCTGAAATGGAAGAAGGATATCTCTTCTTCACCGTCTGAAATGGAAGAAGGATATCTCTTCTTCACCGTCTGAAATGGAAGGAGATCTCTTCTTCACCGTCTGAAATGGAAAGAGGAGATTTCTTCTTTACCGTCTGAAATGGAAGGAGATCTCTTCTTCACCGTCTGAAATGGAAGGAGCTCTCTTCTTCACCGTCTGAAATGGAAGGAGGGGATCTCTTCTTCACCGTCTGAAATGGAAGGAGGGGATCTCTTCTTCACCGTCTGAAATGGAAGGAGGGGATCTCTTCTTAACCGTCTGAAATGGAAGGAGGGGATCTCTTCTTCACCGTCTGAAATGGAAGGAGGGGATCTCTTCTTCACCGTCTGAAATGGAAGGAGGGGATCTCTTCTTAACCGTCTGAAATGGAAGGAGGGGATCTCTTCTTCACCGTCTGAAATGGAAGGAGGGGATCTCTTCTTCACCGTCTGAAATGAAAGGAGGGGAGTACCTACAGCTCGATTGCAAACGATTATGTCTCAGTTACTGTCGAACACTATGGGAGAGAAACTGTCGTGTTTGATGGTTACAAAGTTGGACCAAGTATAAAGGACTGTACTCATCAGTGGCAGAGTAAAAATCTGAATCCAAAAAAGGTGAACAAACAGAAGTGACTTCTGGTCGAATGGAGCGAATGTGGAAGAAAGGCTGTGACATTATAAAGCGGAACTAGATGCCGACGTTGAAATTGTGAAGGCTGCGATCAATAAGTCCGCTTGGAGGATTTTACCGAGTGAGTATGTTTTTAGTGGTAGGGGAAACCGGAGCACCCGGAGGACACCTACGCAAGCACGGGGAGAACATGCAAACTCCATTCAGAAAGGCCCTGTTCCGACCGGGATTTGAACCCAGAGTGATATCCACTCAGCCACCGTGCCGCCCCTTGTCGCTCCGTGCCGAGGTGTGAAAGGTTTTGAAACAGTACTGTGACGTAAGTGAACCTGGGTGAGTGCAACCAGGGTAATGAGGCTAACCCTAACCCTAACCCGGAGATATGGTATAATATAACTATCTCACATAGTCACACTTTCATGTGAAAGACTGAAAACCTGGATACAAATACAGATTTATTGATTTATCATGAAAACTGACCGAGTCAGAGCTTTACAGTAAATGGAAAATGACTGTAAAACAAAAAAGTCATCTCCAAAATGTGACACTTTCCACATAGTACCATGCTCCACAGGTACCAGACCAGACCAGTCCAGTCCAGTCCAGTCCAGTCCAGTCCAGACCAGACCAGACCAGTCCAGTCTATTCCAGTCCAGTCCAGTCCAGTGGACACCACACCATCGTACCCATGTCACCTGGTATAAAGGTCTATCATTTGAAGTAAAGTTCGGTCTCTCTGAGTTTCAGTCGTTAGTCCTGTATGTCCTGTATTTTCTGATCTGCTGTTGAAGAATCCACAACTTGATGAGTTTGTTTTACGAAAAAGACTAAAGCGTCTCAGAAACACAGGTCGAGTGCAGAGGTGAAGGAGAAAAACCTGGAGGAAATCCTGTTTCTACCTTTGGCTTCATTCATACAGGTGTAAAGTGGTTAACTGTGCTTCTAAAGTCAATAATACAGATGTGAAGTGGTTTGCTGTGCTTCTAAAGTCAATAATACAGGTGTAAAGTGGTTAGCTGTACTTCTAAAGTCAATAATACAGATGTGAAGTGGTTTACTGTGCTTCTAAAGTCAATAATACAGGTGTAAAGTGGTTAGCTGTACTTCTAAAGTCAATAATACAGATGTGAAGTGGTTAGCTGTGCTTCTAAAGTCAATAATACAGGTGTGAAGTAGTTAACTGTGCTTCTATGGTTATTCGTACAGGCGCAAAGTGGTTAGCAATGCTTCTAAGTAGGACTGTGCAATCCTAACTGTCTACAGGATACTGAGACTAAAAGATTTTTCTATATGACTTTATAAATGGAAACATAATAATAATTAAATAATCTTTAGTGTTTCTCTAGTGTCTTTTATATTTGTATTTATATTTTTAGGATCACGACCTGTTTTTCTGAATCCCAGACTGTACAGATGGACATGTGTGTAACAAGCTGTCGATTCTCCGACAGAAGATCAGAAAATCAGACAGTTCAAATACAGGAATCGCAACAAGAAATAAAACACATTGGTTCATAAATGTTGTTCAATCATTTTCTCTGGTCTCTCTCTGGTCCCTCTCTGGTCTCTCTCTGGTCTCTCTCTGGTCTCTCTCTGGTCTCTCTCTCTGGTCTCTATCTGGTCCCTCTCTGGTCCCTGTCTGGTCTCTCTCTGATCTCTCTCTGGTCTCTCTCTGGTCTCTCTCTCTGGTCTCTCTCTGGTCTCTCTCTGGTCTCTCACTGGTCTCTCTCTGGTCTCTCTCTGGTATCTATCTGGTCTCTCTCTGGTCTCTCTCTGGTCTCTCTATGGTCTCTCTTTCTGGTCTCTCTCTCTGGTCTCTCTCTGGTCTCTCTCTGGTCTCTCTATGGTCTCTCTCTGGTCTCTCTCTCTGGTCTCTATCTGGTCCCTCTCTGGTCCCTGTCTGGTCTCTCTCTGATCTCTCTCTGGTCTCTCTCTGGTCTCTCTCTCTGGTCTCTCTCTGGTCTCTCTCTGGTCTCTCACTGGTCTCTCTCTGGTCTCTCTCTGGTATCTATCTGGTCTCTCTCTGGTCTCTCTCTGGTCTCTCTATGGTCTCTCTTTCTGGTCTCTCTCTCTGGTCTCTCTCTGGTCTCTCTCTGGTCTCTCTATGGTCTCTCTCTGGTCTCTCTCTGGTCTCTCTATGGTCTCTCTCTCTGGTCTCTCTCTGGTCTCTCTCTCTGGTCTCTCTCTGGTCTCTCTCTAGTCTCTCTCTCTGGTCTCTCTCTCTGGTCTCTCTCTCTGGTCTTTCTCTGGTCTCTTTCTGGTCCCTCTATGGGTACATGTAGACACAGGTACATGTAGACACAGGTACATGTAGACACAGGGTACATGTAGACACAGGTACATGTAGACACAGGTACATGTAGACACAGGTACATGTAGACACAGGGTACATGTAGACACAGGGTCATGCAGACACAGGTACATGTAGACACAGGTACACATGTAGACACAGGGTCATGCAGACACAGGTACATGTAGACACAGGTACATGCAGACACAGGTACATGTAGACACAGGTACATGTAGACACAGGTACATGTAGACACAGGTACATGCAGACACAGGTACATGTAGACACAGGTACATGCAGACACAGGTACATGTAGACACAGGGTACATGCAGACACAGGTACATGTAGACACAGGTACATGTAGACACAGGTACATGTAGACACAGGTACATGTAGACACAGGTACATGTAGACACAGGTACACTGGAGAAAACCGGACAGGAAGTAAAACTGAAACAAAACCACAGAGAACTTATTTCAAAAATAAAACCAAAATACAAAAATCCGCACCATGACATGTGTTGTGTCATTAATTGTGTGTTTTGTGTTATTACTGTGTTGTGTGTTATAATTGTGTGTTGTTGTGTGTGCAGGTCTCAGACGACCCTCTCCATGAGTCCAACACCAATGGTCTCTGTCGTTCTCCGGTCTCAGTGTCTCTCAGAAACACAGACCTGATGCTGAGGTCCAGCGACTCTGGGGCCTTCTCCATCGAGCACTACACATAACAGACCAGGACCAGGACCAGGACCAGGACCAGGACCAGGACCAGGACCAGGACCAGGACCAGGACCTGAACCCCAGACGCACAACAGAACCTCTTTATATTCGCATGAACTCTCTGCATGGAGCTGCAGCCCTGATCACCAAGAGGAGAGGCTAGGTTAAGCTAGGCTAGGCTAGGCTAAGCTAGGGCTAACGAGTAATTTTTAGTGGCCACACATAACTGATCACAAAGACTACATTTATTTAGATGAGGGTTCTTTCCTGTAGCCTGATGTTTGTTTGTTTGTTATAGCGCCCCCACAGGACAGTGAGGGTATGGTTCCCGCTGTCAGCTGTCGATCTCTAGAGCTGTTGACAGGCCACGCATCCCTGCTTCAGTGTGTTTATAGTCCTCTACTCTACTCTACTCTTCCCTACTCTATTCTACTCTACTCTTCCCTACTCTTCCCTACTCTATTCTACTCTACTCTTCCCTACTCTTCCCTACTCTATTCTACTCTACTCTACCCTACTCTATTCTACTCAACTCTACTCTATTCTACTCTACTCTACTCTACTCTACTCTACTCTACTCTACTCTACTCTACTCAACCCTACTCTACTCTACTCTACTCTACCCTACTCTACTCTACTCTACTCTACCCTACCCCTCCCTACTCTACTCTTCTCTACCTAATTGGGAGTGTTTCTTGGTCTTATCTGACCAGTATCAGGTCCTTCTTTAGTCCTGGTTCTATCCAGGCCGAGCTGGTACTAAAGTGTTCTAACTGTGAGTGCTGCTGGAAGCCATGGTTACCAAGGAGGTAGGGTGGAGTAGAGTAGAGAAGAGTAGGGTAGAGTAGGGTAGGGTAGGGTAGAGTAGAGTAGAGTAGAGTAGGGTAGGGTAGGGTAGGGTAGGGTAGAGTAGTGTAGAGTAGAGTAGAGTAGAGTACAGTACAGTAGAGTAGAGAAGAGTAGGGTAGAGTAGGGTAGGGTAGGGTAGAGTAGAGTAGAGTAGAGTAGAGTAGGGTAGGGTAGGGTAGGGTAGAGTAGTGTAGAGTAGAGTAGAGTAGAGTACAGTACAGTAGAGTAGAGTAGGGTAGAGTAGAGTAGAGTAGAGTAGTGTAGAGTAGAGTAGGGTAGGGTAGTGTAGAGTAGAGTAGAGTAGGATAGTGTAGAGTAGAGTAGAGTAGGGTAGGGTAGAGTAGAGTAGAGTAGAGTAGAGTAGAGTAGAGTAGAGTAGAGTAGAGTAGAGTAGAGTAGAGCAGAGCTTGGAGTTTCCAGGACATTTTAAAATCTTGTTTCGTGAAAAGGAAATAACTTCCATCAGATTCCGATGTCTGTGCAAAGTGATGTCATGATATTAAATATTTACCAATAAAACATTTATTTAAAACACTTTTTGTAACAATTACTTTCTCTTTGGCCGACACCACAAACTAACTCAGAAGTTTTGTGTAAAACATGATCTGTGTCGCCCCCTGCAGGACAAACGTTCAGTCTCACGTCCACAGCCTCTGCCTCAGTTTGTGCTAAATCCACCAGGGGGTGCTGTTCCCTCACTAAAGAACAACACAGATAGATAGATAGACTGAGACTGTAGACCCAGGACTGAGGCTGTAGACCCAGGACTGAGGCTGTAGACCCAGGACTGAGGCTGTAGACCCAGGACTGAGGCTGTGTAGACCCAGGACTGAGGCTGTAGACCCAGGACTGAGGCTGTGTAGACCCAGGACTGAGGCTGTAGATCCAGGACTGAGGCTGTAGACCCAGGACTGAGGCTGTAGACCCAGGACTGAGGCTGTAGACCCAGGACTGAGGTTGTGTAGACCCAGGACTGAGGCTGTAGATCCAGGACTGAGGCTGTAGACCCAGGACTGAGGCTGTGTAGACCCAGGACTGAGGCTGTAGACCCAGGACTGAGGCTGTGTAGACCCAGGACTGAGGCTGTAGATCCAGGACTGAGGCTGTAGACCCAGGACTGAGGCTGTAGACCCAGGACTGAGGCTGTAGACCCAGGACTGAGGCTGTGTAGACCCAGGACTGAGGCTGTGTAGACCCAGGACTGAGGCTGTGTAGACCCAGGACTGAGGCTGTGTAGACCCAGGACTGAGGCTGTGTAGACCCAGGACTGAGGCTGTGTAGACCCAGGACTGAGGCTGTAGATCCAGGACTGAGGCTGTGTAGACCCAGGACTGAGGCTGTAGACCCAGGACTGAGGCTGTAGACCCAGGACTGAGGCTGTAGATCCAGGACTGAGAATGTGTAGACCCAGGACTGAGGCTGTAGATCCAGGACTGAGGCTGTGTAGACCCAGGACTGAGGCTGTAGACCCAGGACTGAGGCTGTAGACCCAGGACTAACTTCATCTTTAATCACTGATAATTCCCACACAGATCTCGTCTTCTAATGTGGTATTTTTATCACTTCCTGAAGACAACGAACGTTTAAAAAAAATCGCAATCTGGCCTTGGGGATGAGTCATGTGGTCTCTTTGCTCGGTTGCCACGGTTACGGCGAGCTGGCGCCTGATTGGCTTTGAGGGGAGCACGAGCGTGACTCAGACGGCGATGTATGTTAAAGGCGGTCGTACAGTGTGTCCTGCTTTTGTTTTTGCGGCTGTGATTCAGGGACTGGCTGTCTGGAGATAAGCAGGCCAGGGGTGGGCAGCCTCAGTCCTACATGGGTCTACAACCTCAGTCCTGGGTCTACAGCCTCAGTCCTACATGGGTCTACAACCTCAGTCCTGGGTCAGCCTCAGTCCTACATGGGTCTACAACCTCAGTCCTGGGTCTACAGCCTCAGTCCTACATGGGTCTACAACCTCAGTCCTGGGTCTACAGCCTCAGTCCTGGGTCTACAGCCTCAGTCCTGGGTCTACAGCCTCAGTCCTGGGTCTACAACCTCAGTCCTGGGTCTACAGCCTCAGTCCTGGGTCTACAACGTCAGTCCTGGGTCTACAGCCTCAGTCCTGGGTCTACAGCCTCAGTCCTGGGTCTACAGCCTCAGTCCTGGGTCTACAGCCTCAGTCCTGAATATCCCAAATCAAATGCAACTATGTAAAACAATCCATGTCTCTAGATCCTGGCTCTAAAACACTTTGCAACAATCATAGTTTTCGTGCAGAAAATTAAAAAAGAGAGGACCTCTCTCGGCCAATCAGGAATCGACAACTTTGTAAAGTCCCCCCACAGACGACTGCTGCTGTGATTCAGGGCCGTACACATTGAATTGAATGGAGCACCTGGAGGAAACCTAGAGACAGGGAGAACATGCAAACCCCATGGCCTTGTTTCTGACCCAGAAGCGAGAGGGCTAACCACTCAGCCACAGCGCCACCCACCGATGAGATGAAGACAGCGTTTAGCGTCAGATTCATTCACATTTTGAGTCTTTCTGAACATGAATTACGTACCCCAGCTTTATATAACCAGGTGTTATTCAAATGCACTTTTCCAAACCGACAGAAAACACATGAAGGAGAAATGACGACACAAACTCCGTGTTCCCGTATTAACAAGTACACAAGTGTAGTATTTCATTTTATTTATATATGCAAGCAAGTTTATGTCTTTACAAATAAAAAAGCCACTGTCTGCCCAAGCTGTTGGCACAGATATGTACAAAATGGAGGAGTGATTCAGATAAAGCTCGCTACTAAGCAACCAGAGTGGATACAAAAGTCTAAATTTACTATGGGAAAAGAGAGAGCAGAAAGAAGACTTCCCGAGTCCGAGATGAGTGGCAGACTCAGCATGGGGCTGCCATGGCAACAAACTTCTGTCAATCACAATAATGGTTATTTGTATTGAAATTAGCCTAGTTAGCTCGGTAAATATCAATCCATTATTAGCAAAAATATGTGTTGCTTTTACTTTTTAGGTGCCACTTTAAGCTAACAGGCAGAAAACTCCAATCTGTTTTCTTTCTGCTTTATCCGATTCTGGCTCTTCTTGACATGGAGAAACAGCGGCTCTACTCCGAGCTCCCCCCGAGTGACTGAGCTCTTCCCCCTGTCTCTAAGGGAGCGCCCAGAGGAAACCTATTTCATATTATCTACTTAAAACAAGAAACACTGAGTAGAAATTTGTGTTGCCTTAGCCTCATGTTGAGCCGTGCCGTGACACAAGGGACACACGGGAGAAGCAGTGTTTAAAGTACACACATCGTAATCACAAAAAAGACATCGGGAAACTGAAAAAAAGCAAATAAAAAAAGAACTACGCAGCTCCCATCCTCTCCCTGTTCCAAGTTTGGGTTGAAGGCCACGATTGATGAAGATTGACTGGAAAGAAAGCTCACGAATGCCTTAAGCCGCTGCTATATGAGAGACTAACAGAGCCAGTTGCTTGGAAACACCCTCTGCATGCATATTTCAGAGTAGTAATAATAAAAAAATAACTAGCGTGTATAATTTATGCTTGGGTTGGAGAATAGACCAGAGCGCGGTGGTGGCCGAGGCAGTAGGCGAAAGGAAGAGGATGCGAACGTGTAGAGCACAGGGACAATGGGCCAGAGCAATACATGTATTATGAACCACCGCAAACATCTCAGGAACAAAATGAATGATAGTAATTACATTATATCACTTAAAACCCGCAGTCATATGTCATGCACTTTTAGAAGGGGTTGAGGAAAGCAGGGGCGGCTATTCTCATAATTTAGGTTCACACATATTAGCCTATTGGTCAAAAGAAATGCTACAATATATTGCTCTGGTGGTAAACAACTGAGCCTGCAAGCTAGCTTAGCAACACCGTTAGCAACGAGGAACGGCAAAACGGCACAAAGAGTGGAAACGGAAAGGAAATCAGCAGCCTGTGGAAAAGATGGATTTTTTTTGTTTCGTTTTTGTCGTTAAAATGATGACCATTGAATGCATAACCATGCCACAAACAACAACTAGAGTCACTGTCTTTTTTTTTTGTTCTTTTTATAAGTATAAGATTATCTTTGTTATTATGGAATCATTCATTTTCATTGTTATTTCTTCAGGTCAACGCTGCGAGACTATACACAGGTC